CAGGCTTATATGGCCAAACATCTGCCAAACACCTGATTCTGCCTCCCCTGCAGGGGATGCTGAGCATCCCGTTGGGGTGCTTGTGCCAAGATGAGTCGCTCAGCCTTGACTGAAAGCCGTGTCCACTGTCAAAGTATAGTGAGGAGTGTAGTGAATAATGTACTGATACCAGGAACAGCTTCAAAGTGTCCAACCTTAAATGGGGGAGCCCTGGGTAATCTCCCAGCTTTGATTTGCTGCATGCTGAGTTGGTCATTCCTATGTTTCCTCTGCCAGTGGGACGAATCAGACAGATGTATCACCAAATGGCCTGGCAGGATCTATGTACATGTAATGCAATCCTTGCTCAAAAGAGGCTAAAGCCAATTAAAATTCTTATAAGCTTTAGGGCTGCAAGTTAGGCAGGAGAGAGTCTAATTAAGAGAAGACTTATTAAGGAGCACCCTTAAAGGCAATTGCAGCTGACCTCATCAGTAAATCTGTGCCTGCCTGGACAGCACAAGGGAGACTTCTTGGGAACCTGTTGCTCAGCTGCTTTGCCAAGTACACATTCACTATGTGAATTCACTTCAGTACATAAACACTGAGTGCATATTTCTTGTCCCTCTGATATTTTAGGCTTTATTTCCTTCTTTACCACTTAACGCCTTCATTTGAAAAATGCTTTGGGGTCATTACTTCGTTTTTTATGGCAAGAGAAAAGAAAAATAACCAATTCTTGTCAACATTTCAAATAGCTTTGTGTTGAAGTGTGATAGTAGCAGGCACCAGTCACATTAAAATGATACTCTCTGTGTTCTCATTGAGGCCCTTAGTGACATGGTTTAGTGGTGTACTTGGCAGTCCTGGAGTAATGGCTGGACTTGATGCCTACCTATTAAGCAACCTGGTGCAGTGTTTCAGCCAGGTTCAGAAAGGCACTCTGTTCCAGGAGGAATCACACCCTTCCATGCTGCCTCCAAGTGGATTTGAGCCCATAGTCCAGTCCTCTCACCCATCAGTGAGATTTGGGCAAGAGCTGTGCTGGAACATACAGTGAAACATCTTTGAAGTTAATTAGCTATAAGCTAACTAACTTATAAAGGTAGCACCAAGGGCTACATACAGGTAAACCTAGACCACAGCTAAATATCAGGTGCCTCTTTCACCTGCACAGAAAAGGCATTATTGCAGCAGAAAAGGGCAAACCTAGCAAGGAGACAGACATGCACAACAGTGGGAAGTCCACCTGGGATTGCCAGAAAAGGCAAGATGTGCAGAAATGAGAGGGGCTGTAACCTTTCTCCCCAAACACTGCCTTGAATTCTCAGTTCCAGCATGTCTGCAGTCACTACACCTTCACTGCTAAGTGCAGCAGCCAAACCCAAGCAGTTTCCAGATCTCTGAACTACGCACAGGCATTCTTTTTTTGGACTCAATCCTTCACTTTTAGAAATATGAACCCTGGAGTGTTTACTGAGAAAACCTCCTTTTGAGTTTGTTGCTGTTTTGGTTGCAGCTCCTCAGTTTTTTTTCTCTAGGAGATTCTGGCTCACAGATTTATTAATTTTTTTTTACCACGGGAAGCAGGAGTCAGATTTGAAAAGTCTTTTCTTTGAATTTCTGGTACTAGCAGTCCAGATCTTTGTCTGTGGTACATAGTCCTGACATCATGACCTACACAGCTGGGTAGCTTTTTAAAAGAGAGATGTTTTCATAGCATCACATCCCAAAATGTGCTGCTGCCCACAGCCACTGCAGCCAGCCTGGAACAAAGTGATGTTATCACTGAAGTGCCACTGCCTGAGTGGTGATTTCTGGGGTCAGTGGAACAGCAATGCGCTCCATTCATGAGGAATGACACTGTGCAGTGACCCTCTCAAAGGGGTGACTGGTCTGGCTTGGGCTTCACCTGCTTCTCCACTGGGATCCGCAACTCCATGAGCAGTGGGGACCCCTCTGGTCCCAGGTCAGGTGGGCTGGGTACAGGACAATGCCCCCCTTCCAGTTTTGACAAGCTTTCTCTGCATGCTACCAGCTTTGCTAGGACAGGGGCATGAGAGCTTTTCTTTCACAGAAGATACCAAACAGTGCCACCCTAAACATCAGCACTCCCTGCACCCAAAGGATATCCAGCCACATTTGTCATGTCATCTTTGTTCACCTGCTTTCCATGCTGTGAACTGGAAAGAAAAGTAGGGTACTAAATTACAGTACTGCGTGCAAAGGTAACATTGCGTTAATGCACTCTGGTGGCAGAGGGAGCCTTTATGGATGCATTCATCAGTGACACAGATTAGTTGGAAATCTCATTTCCACATGTGTTTGCCTCTTGCCATGCACCCTGGTCTCCTTATTTCCTTGTTGCCTGCTATTAGTCCCATTTCACTTGCCCTGAGCCTTGACCTTCCTCCACTAAGCACTTAGGGCAGCATGCCTGTACGAGTTGTGGTATACAGAAGTGAACTTGGTCTCTGCAGTTTGCTCTTGTAAGCCTGAGGGTCACCCATGACACAGTGTGCCTGGGAGCAGCCAGTGTGTGAGGGATGGGGGCCTTTTTCTGCTTTCAGACATTGAGAGGTGGAAGTCATTAGATGTCTCTTCACATTAGTCATTAGTCCTCTCTTCTGCCTGCCCCCAACATTGTATTGCAGAGTCCTAAAAGTAAAGTGAGTATTACATAGTAAATTGGTAGTAGGTACACTTCAACGTAGCCTGACAATTGACCTTGAGTGTGTGAAGTCAGAGTTAAAACACCCCGCAGCAATGAAAAGACACTGCAGGCTATGAATCATGGAGGAGTCAACCCACGACGGGGAGGAGGGGTGCTGACACATCCGTGCTGCCCCCTCCTTCCCTCCTGTCCTCACAGAAACATTCAAAGCTAAACAAAATGCCTTGTGGACAGATGTTTTATCTAGAGTTAGCATCTGGTTCCCACCTAATGACTTAAAACCCTCTGCACACTACTGGTGTGAGATGTTTCCTGCTCCACAGCAGGTAAACAGCCTCACCAGTTTCAGTGAGCTACTCTATGCCCACTGCTCCTCTGTGCATCTGTGTCATCCTTCAGACACTGGTGAACTCACCATGAACAAACCCCATGCTGGCACCTCAAATAACAAGAGGTCCTTCCTCTCCCACAGCAGCTTGCAGAAAGAGGCTGCAGCAGCATCAGGGGGAAAGCATCCCCAGGAAACCACATGCGAACACTAAAACCTCAGTCTGTGGTGGGGCAGAGTAAAGAAGAAGTGTGGCATACTCTTCATTTGGGTAGACACCGGTGGTAAAAATCTTGTTGTTATTTGGCTTTCAGTGCCCACGTTGTTACTCCCAATGTCACCCAAATCCAGGAAATAAATTCCCTAAACAGAATGACAGGTTAGAAAGCCAACATTACTTTATTACAGTACGGGTTCATGGGGGATTGCATAGCCTATAACACAGGCCAAAGAAGAGACAGTTTACAGTTTATATACCACTGTTATATATATTCATTATAATTCCGTGAAGCACCCAGCCAATTCTCATTACCCATCACATATGGTAATTTGGGTAGCTAAGGTGCGGTGCAGGCGCTAAGAATTTGGGTAGTAGTCTCTGGGGGTTGTGGTGGTCACCTGGGGAGAAATAACCCTGCTCATTTTACTGTTTCACGGAAATCCGTTAGTTTAGAACATTGGAAAGCATGTTTAGTCTTGCCAATTAATTAAATGTTCTTGTTTGGGTTCATTTACAACCCTGAGAGGCTCCTTGAGCCGTTTTCTTTTGCAGCTGTTCACCCATTTCTCAGGCCTTGTCGACAGGAGGAAGGCCCACACTGAACATGAGCCAGCTTCAGTGTGCGCTCACATCCCAGAAAGCCAACCGTATCCTGGGCTGCATCAAGAGGACCGTGACCAGCAGGTTGAAGGAGGTGATCCTGCCCCTCTACTCTGCTCTTGTGAGACCTCACCTGGAGTATTGTGTGCAGTTCTGGTGTCCTCACCATCAAAAGGACATGGAACTGTTGGAACAAGTCCAGAGGAGGGCCACGAGGATGATCAGGGGGCTGGAGCACCTCCCGTATGAAGACAGGCTGAGGAAGGTGGGGCTGTTCAGCCTGGAGAAGAGAAGGCTGCGTGGAGACCTCATAGCAGCCTTCCAGTATCTGAAGGGGGCCTATGGGGATGCTGGGGAGGGACTCTTCATTAGGGACTGTAGTGATAGGACAAGGGGCAACGGGTTAAAACTTAATCAGGGGAGATTCAGGCTGGATATAAGAAAGAAGTCCTCTACTGCGTGAGTGTGAGGCACTGGGATGAGCTGCCCAAGGAAACTGTGAATGTTCTATCCCTGACAGTGTTCAAAGCCAGGTTTGACAGAGCCTTGGGTGACACGGTCTAGGGTGAGGCATTGGAACTAGATGATCTTAAAACTTAAGGTCATCAATTAGATGGTCTTAAGACCCTAATCATTCTATGACGTGAAAAAAGACATCTGGTCTTTTTGTTGCATGTTTTTCTTTTCATGAGAATCCTTGCAGCCTTGTCCATGGCTATGTGTGTATGCACCATGAAACACTTGTTCAATTCGGTATCAGCAGCCAGATGAACCTTATTAGCTAGCTCGTGAATCTGCTCCTCCCTAGGACCGGTGGCATCTTTTACTCAGGTTCCACAGGCTTCCAAAACCAGACGTCTTTCAAATCTGCTTCTCCCGCACAGCGTTTGTCCCCTCACTCCCCCAGGCAGCCGGCGGGAGGGGTGCCTGCCGCCCTCCGGGGACAGCCGTCTAGAAAGGCGCAGGCACGCTGGGCAGAGGCCTGCTCCTCTCGTCCACCGAGCGCGGACGGCCAGGCGCCGCCAGCCACCCTCCGTGCTCCCCCTCCAGCCACACCAGCACAGCCATTGGGGCTCCCCGTGAGGAGGGCCTCAGCGGGGCGGGGCCGTCCGCGGCCGCCATTGGCTGTCGCTATGCAGGGCCGGCGGCCGCCCGCCCGCCCTCCCCCGTTCCTCCGCCGCGGTGCGGGGCGCAGCCGGCGGCGCGGGAGCTCTATGGAGGCAGCGGTAGCAGCAACAGATGCGGGGCAGCCCGGCCGCCCCTAGCCGCTTCCCGGCCGCGCTGCGCGGGGTCCGCCGACCCTAGCGCGCCGCGGGCGAGATGGCCGGGTCCCGGCGGGCGGCCGGCGGCGAGGCGGGCACGGCGGGCTGCGGGCAGGCCATCGTCTGGCGCAACGTGGTGCTGATGGGGCTGCTGCACCTGGGCGCCGTCTACGCGCTCAGCCTGGTGCCGCGGGCGCAGCTCCTCACCCTCCTCTGGGGTGAGTGCGGGGACGGACAGAGGCTGCGCCGCGCCACAGGTTGGGGGGGAGCGGACGAATGGAACCCCAGTGCGGCCCCGGCCGGGTCCGGGTGATGGGGGGGATGTGTGGGGGACAAGCCGCGGCTTGTTCCCTCTGTCTTCACCTCCGTGCGTTGGTGCGCTCGTTCCGCGGCGTTCGGCGTGGCGGGGCGCGGACACACCCCGCGGCCTCCGCCGCTTTTGTTCCCGTACCCCCCACGGCCGCTGCCGGGATGCCATTGCCCGCGCCGCGCCGGGCCCGCGGTTGCTGTAGAAACGGGAGGCACTCTCCTTCCGGTTATAGTGAGCGGTTTGTGGTGGTTCTGGTTGTTAGTGGGATGTCGTTTCGGGTTTTTTAACTAAAAAGAGATAAGCAGCCGATATTTAGGTTTAAGGTCTGACAGAGAACGGCGTTTGTCTTCCATTTGCTGCTGCTTCTTGTTACTTTATGAACACCCACATCTCTCTGCTCCAGCCGCGAGCAGAAAATCACCCCATCCTTCCGTCTCTTGGGGAAGGTGAGGAATGCATCTCATTAGGTCAGATTTAAAAGGCCGTGTATTTTCTTCTGTAACACACCGGTAAGGAGAAAATAAGGCTAGCTGTGCTTTTTGAGGTGAGGCAGCTTGCTGTGCTCTTCCTGCTAGCTGAGGATTTGGTCTGGAAAAGAGAATATGAAGTACAGTGTCTTTACTTCCATCCTACAGTGAGGTCCTCCTTTCTCCCCAGAAGAATGATGCTGGGAGAAGAGCTACATAGAAGCACTGCAGTACCATGCAAGGTTTCTCAGGGTTTGTGAGGCTAATAGATGATGGATGTCAGCATCATCCTTCGCTGGGCAGAGCTGCATATTGGGTCGTGTGCACGAGGGTGGCCAAGAGGATAACAGATTAAATACTGCTTCCATCTGGTGAAATTCCTTGGGTAAAAGACCCACTTTGGAGAGCTTTTGAGTGGATGGAGAATGTAATGATCTGGGACTCTTCTATGCAAAATGAGGAAAGAAGGGTCTCTGCTGCCAGGAACTCGCAGACAGGGAATTCAGGTTGTTAAGGTGCCATCAAGTAGTATTGACATAAAAATCAAAAAGCCCCAGCCAAATGCATTAGAAATCAGGTTTATTTCTCCTGTTTGAGGAATTCCTGAATCTCTTTTTCAGTGGTTCAGCTTTTGATACTCTGTCTTAAACCCTTAAGACACAGACACCATTGCTGTTTGCAGCTGGAAAATGAACCCTTCTGTCAATTACCATCCTCTGACAAGTTCTTAATTGGGAAACTGTTTCTGGGTCCCTTGTGGGGACCTGGTTTTTGACTGGCTGCCTGGTTTGTACTGTTACCTGGCTCACTCACAACCAGAAAAGACTGGGGGGGGTGGGTGGCTGTGTTTTGCTTTAGTTTCCTTCTGTGAATGCTACGCCTCTCCCCTCCCTATTCCTGGTTGTGTTCAGGCTGATTTATTGTTTACCTTGGCCATAGCTTGATGGCTGGGGAGACCAGGAGAGCCTGCGGGAGCTGCGTGGCCAGAACACGCAGCCTGTGGTCTGCTTTCAGCCTTTCAGGACCCATAGCGTGTGGGGAGGTGAGCTTTCTTTTCATCTGTTTTTGCCTTTCCAAGAAGACAAGATGAAATAATGTCTGATTTCACTGTGTCTTAATTACAAGACTCACTCAGGCTGGAGCCAAAGGATTGTATTACCAATTCAGCCCTCCGTCCTCCAAGGTAGTTTTTCCTAGTTGAAGTTAAACAGATGCTAAATAATAAACAGGTCTCAGCAACTTTGCAACTTAATGCCTTTCTTTCTGAAAGTGAGAGCCTCCCATTTCTCAACATCATTATTTTTAACAGCCACCCTCAAGCAGACCACAAAGTTTTTACGCGGGTTTGACTGGTGGTATTTATAGGGGCTCTGCAGCAGGGAGGGAGTGCACTGCCTCCAGCCTGCAGGACACTGCGTTCCCTTCTTGCAGCTGGATGCTGTGAGGTCTGTCTCCATCCCAGGTCAAGGTGAAAGCACAGGATCTCCTGCAGAACATGTCAGACAAAAGTAGCTTGCTGTCATGCTGTAGACCTGTGTCCAAGGTCACTCTGAGGGACTCTCACAGGATAGACAAAACCAGGGTTGCTGTTTAAGTTAAACCCACCTCACTGCACTCTGGAAGGAGCCAACCAGCAATGTGTCAGAAGGAAGAAGTGTCAATCACACACGTCCCAGTTCTGAACATCTTCCCTGTGCACACTGGCTGTGAAGCTGCCAGCCAGACTTGGGAGCAGGGCACGGAGAGGTTGGGTAATGCTGGAGTGTCAGGTAAGTGCAGAGATGAGCGTACGCTGAAGGGTGCAGATGGAAGAGCTGCAGCCCTGGTTGCATCCATCCGTAGTTTTCTCTTCCTGAGCTTGCCTGTGACTTGGGAGGGGAGCTTCCCAGTGATCTTGGGCAAGCCCTTGCTTTGCTCTGTGCAGTGCTCCCCACCACTGCTCCTCCATGGGGAAGCTGCAGGAAGAAGTGTGCAAAGTGGTTTGCAGGTGCTCAGTATGACCTCAGGAATGCAGCTTCCCGTGACTCACCGTTGCCCATTTGGCTTTTTATTTTCTCCTCCCCTAAGGCATCTTTGAGTTCTCAGCTGTGGGGCTCGAGTAGACCTGGTGCTTCCCTTTCTCTGTGCAGGGTTTACTTTCCTTCTTCCCACCCCTGAAGGCAGTTGGTAATCCCCAGTTCACCACTGCTTGCTAAATGGAGCTGAAATGCCACTGTGCCACCTAGAAAACAGCTGTTCAAGCCAAACTGCCTGCTCAGCAGGGCTCATTTCCATTGGTAATTTATTGACATTCATCCAGCTGTATATAATAGACAATGAAAACATGCTGCCAAGCAAAGGCTCGGCTGGCTGTTTACTCAGAATTAGCTGTGCTCCCCTGTTCCCATAGTCTCCTGCACTAATGCCTTGAAGCCTGTGTAAAAGCTTCCTGCACCTCACATGGAGCCAGAGTTGTGCAAGGGATCCCAAACAGTGTTCTGGGTGGTGCAGCCACCTCACCCAAGGGGTACTCAGAATTGTCTTTCAAGTGATGTACAGATGAACTGATTAAAACATAGGCTTTCAGGGCCTTCACAGTGCCTCTGGAATTTGGTTTCAGTCCAAGCTGAGCAAAACAAATAAAATTGCTCATGTCAAAATTTTCCACAAGCTGGGAACTGCCTTGACCCAAAAGGCAGCAGATTATATGTGCAAGGCATCAAGCAGCTCTGGGCTGTGCCATGGGACATCCATGTAGCTATCCTGGCAAATCCCACTGTCACTGCGTATTTGTAATGTCCCCTGCTCTGCGAGCCTGACCATGCCCACTTGGGAGCTCTCTCTTTACCAACCTGATGTGGCTGGGGACAGCAGCATGTGGAGAAGACCCTGTTGCCTTCCTCTTTCCTTCCTGATCCAGAGCCAGGCAGCTTATGTTAACTGGTCCTTCCTTCCTCTTGGTGTTTTGCTGTCTGTGTCTGTGCTGTTTCATAGCTGACAGCTGCTGCTCGGGGGAATCCCTGCACTCTGGGTTTCCAGGCTTGGAAAGGGGTGGGAGCTGTTGAGGAAATGTACCTTTTTCACCAGCCATCCTGCAAAGCCCAGGCATGGTGCAACCCCAGGTAGCTGGCACATGGACCTTCCCCTTCATGTCTCTCTGTCCATTTGCTTGTGCAGGACTTTGGGCTCCTGGTGCTTAGCACCCACTGTAGAGAGGTATGAAGGGGAGGGGTGACCATTCCTGGCAGACTCACATCAGGACCTGAAGCAAGGTGGGAGCACCTCACTGTCAGTGGGGCCAGAAATCAGGGACGGCATGATGGGTCATCTTGCAGCTTCCCCAGGAATGAACTTGTGCACAGGGGTCCTTGTGGCCAGCTGCGGCTGTGGATGTGTCTTTGGTTTGCCAGTGGCCTCTTTTGGACTAGACATGCTGAACTTCCTTCCACAGGCCACTTGTTAGGAACCTGTGCACAGCTTTTCCCCTAAGTTTGTAATGTGCCATTAAATTATGCTTTTTGACCAGGATCCTCTTTGTTCCATCCAGCTCCGTCCTCTTGCAGTCCCAGCAGGGCTGTCTGTTTGGGTTAGGAAAGCAAAGCAAAAAACCTCTGAGATCTCTGTACAGAGAAAATTACCAGCATGTTTCACTGTGGGGCCCAATGGTTCTGCTGCTAACAGTTTCTTTTGATGGGTTCATGGTAGCTTCTTTGTCTTAAAGACACCATTCTGGGGGAATACATGATGTGTAAGGGGCTCAGATTTTGCTGGAAAAAGGTCCTTTTTAGCCTTCACAGGGGGCTTGTGAGGAAGCAGTGGGAGTAGTTAAGTGCATTGTAGGAAACATGAAAAACCTGCAAAAGATTAAGCTGTTTACCTGCTTAAAAACCTTTCCTTTTAGGTTGTTGAGCATTACTAGTACTAGCAACTTTAAACACTGGTGTAGGCATGGCCATCCAGAAACCCTGCATCATTCAGACATGTCTTGCAGAGCTGCCTGATAGCTGAGCGGATGTTGGTTCACACATGGGTGCACCTTGCCAGAGTCTGGGATAGGAGAGGAGGATGGATGGCCTTGCTCTAATGCTGCTCATATGGGAGGGGAGGCTTGTTTCTGTTGTTTTAGCATCATTTAGGAGACATTTTAGTGCTCTTGACAATGCCAGATTGATCATGTTCCGCTGTGGTGGGCCCTGTGCCATGCTTACCCGCAGCTTTCCCCTGTGCTTGAGCTGAGATCGCAGACGGAGCGGCGGTGCTGACCAGCTGCACGCCTGCCAAAATGCAAGCTGCTCCCAGGCTCCGGTCTGGATCCAATCCTGCTGCCTGGATGGATCCTGGGGAGATTAAAGCAATTGTGGTTTTAGCACTTTGGATTACTGTGGTGCCTGGAGGGTGCCACGGAGATCATCACCTCTTTCTCAGCCCTTCTGGTATGTTAGGAGGCACATGTTGCTGTTGT